GGGGTTTGGGGGGGGAGAAAGAGAAACCGCAGAAGTGGTTGAAAAATGAGGAGCACAGAATGAAAGAACTGAAGAGTGTCCTCAAATGAGTCATATGAATGGATCACTTTTGAAAGGCTGCCAAATGCTGAAAAGAAAAAAAGGGTGCCTGGCGCTGTATTGTGCTATCTTGGGAAGCCTGTGTGTGTATGTGTGCTGAATATTGTTGAGTGTGCGTCTGCTCGCTAAGCCCTCAGTACCATTGTTAGGTCAATAACCTCTTGTCACACTGAAGGTCACTGTTAAGAGATGGATGCTGCTGGCTTAAAAAATGTGCTTCTGAAATGGCACGCTGCCCACAGATGCCTTATATGAGTTGCCCAACATTTTTGAAAACAAGATGCACTATGGAAGTGATAACATTTGATTGTTATATTTGTTGCACAGTTAAAATGCTAGGCAGTAAATGACTATGTTAGCATGAAAACAAAGTTTGAATTTATTCCAATTTCTGGAAAAGAATCAATGAAGCCTTCTCATTCTAATGCACTGTACAACTACTGTAGCCAATTCATTTTTCCTGTCAGGCTAATAAATAATAATAATAATATATTATTATTATTGTTATAGCATTGTTTTTTTTAATTAATAATATAAGATAAAATAATTATAGTTATTGTTCTACAGTAATACAATTAATTATTTTATATTATTTACATTATTTATATTATTGTTATTTTTAAAGTCCCTGCTCATAGTTCGTTTTTAAAGTTCATGTGTAAAATTATTATTTATAAAAACTGTGCAGTATACAATAACACTTATACTTGCTTTATTATTTATAATTCTAATTGTTTTAGGTAATTTTTTTTAAAGTCACTGCTCATTTGATTATTGAAGCTCAAGTGTAAAATTATTATTATATTAATTTATAAAAACCATTCAATAACCATAACAATTATTGAAGATGCAGGACAACCACCTAGCAGTGCATTACAATAGTCCAGTCTAAAGGTCATGAATGCATGAACTAGCTTTTCTGCATCAGAAACAGGTATCATGTTTCGTAACTTGGCAATGTTTCTAAGATAATAAATAATAATTTCTTATTCTTAATAAAATAGTACTTATTGTTTATTATGCTTATATTATAATGTAAGTATAATAATATCAAAGTACTTATTATAATAATAATAATAATAATATTTATTATACTTGGTTTATTATTGCTATTTTTATATATCTTATTTTTTATTATTTGGAATTTTTGAATATTTATTTTATTTTCAAATACAAGTCACTCTGCTCAGATTTCATGATTGAAGCTCATTATTGTAAAATTGTATTCTAAAATAACCCATGCGAAGTGCATCTAATTAAGAGCAGATTTGCTCATACCTTACAGTTTATTTTCAACTACTTTTATTTTACTGTTGTGGAAGTCTAGCCTCGAGCAGTCACGACACAGTGCCTGACCCCTCTCACTCGAGCTGTGATTCTCCTTTCCAGCCCAGGCCATAGAGCAGCGGCTGAGAAAGATCGACCACACAGCCATCCATCCTCACCTGCTGGATATGAAGATTGGCCAAGGAAAATACCAGCAGGGATTCTTCCCCAAACTGCAGGCTGATGTGCTCGCCTCAGGGCCCACCAACAACAAGTGAGTCCTCTTTATGGCACATGACACAGTTATGAGAGATTGAGCAATCAGTGTGGGGCATGTAACACTTCAGTGTCAGTAGTAGTTTTAAAGCTCCGTTTTAAAAGACAAGAGTTTTTAGTTGCACTTCAATATTCAATAATAAAACATTTATTTATTTTCATTTACTTTGTGACAAGAAATAAAACACTTAAGTAAACTCTTTAAAGCTTGTATCAGTGTGTGGGAAGATCTAATAATGGAAACCCTCTGTGATCAGGTGGTCCAATCGCACATGCTCGACTCAGCGCAGAGTGGACCGTCACAGACAGCAGAATGACCATCTTGTGCTGGACAATGACCTCAAAGAGGTGAGACTACAGCATTTGTTCCTCTTCAGCTTCTCTCCTTCATTCTCTTTTCTTCTCTTCTTGTTCTGTGTGCAGCCCTTGATTATTCCTTCCATCGTTTTTACTTACTCCATCTCTTTTATACTGGTGCTTTCATAGGGCCTTATTTGTCAGATGGTAGATAAAGCTGATTGTTGGCAGATCACAAAGTAAATAAAAGGTAGTTTATCCAAAAATAATAATTCTGTTTCATTTAATCACCCTCATGTTGTTTCAAACCCATAAGACTTACTTTCTTCCATGGAACACAAAAGATGATGTTGCTCTTTTCCATGCAATTATAATAAATGGGAAAAGAGCTTCAAAAACTGAGCAAAAAATACCATAAATGTAACAAATGCTGTAATTTGTGATGTTTTTGTTTGAGGAACAGGCTCAATGTTTTTATTCTTAACTAAAATCTATTTAAAAAAAAATTAGAACTGTGAAAAAAATGTTTTTAGTAATTGAAATAAAGCTAAAATAAAATATAAATATTAGATGGAAAAAATGAAGCTTTAAAAGGCTTAAACTGATTAATTCTTTATGTAGTTGGCAACATTTCTGATTAAGTTGAATTACTAAAATGACTGAAGTTGAAATAAAAACAAATGAAAGATCAACTGAAATATTTGTTTTATAAATTAATAACAATGACCAAAGCAAATAAAAAAAAAAATTCTAAAACATAAACTGAAATTGAAAATTAAAAATATAAAACTGAAAAGTAATTCAAAATATTAATAAATAAAATAATGGTATATAAATAACAAAACTAAAATAACCCATATACTGTATAAGTTTACTGATAAATAACCAAGAACCATTACAACCAAATCTCTGAATGAATAATTCAGACCAGTTTTGTAAATCAAATCAGTTGATTAATTTTCAAGATCTGACTCAAAAGAATGATTTATACAAGAATGACGTTTTTACGTCATTTTTCAGTGCACCCTTACAAATATGATAATGAACAGTAATTCTTCCTAAATTACAGTTTCCTGATGTCTGAATCGCATAAATGGCCTTTAGTGCTGTAAGTGATTTACATGAAATTTGACTTGTAAATGGATCCTGATGAATCATGCTTAATGCAAAGGCCTCTTGGGCTTTTTGTGAATCTGCCTGTTCTCATTTCTTCAGTTGTCTCCGTTTTCTTTTACTTTTGAGCTTGCATTTTCTTTTTCAAGTGTCTTCTCGCTTTCCTTTTCTTGTCTGACTGCCTCACATTCATGTGCATGCTGCTTTTTTCTTTCCTTTTCTATTGTTTCTCCATCATTTCTGTGTGTGTTTGTATGCTGTGTGGGCCGTTAATTGTCGATTATTCCCTTGAAATTGTAATTGGGAGTATTAATTACTATGAACACAATTTATATTGAATGATGTTTATACCATTGTTTGATGCAACTGCATGCCGTACTGTAATCGTGATTAGAAATTTGATTAATTGTACAGCCCTAATCCTTCATATTTAGCAAATCTTCAAATGAATATCTGTAAGTTATAATATTGTGATGCCTAAATTTACTAGCATTAATATATATATGTACAGTATATATTTTAAATGACAAAATAAAATAAAAACAATGACACATTCATTATAAAATCATAATATTGGACATTTATTGGTTATTTGCCAAGGCATGAAAAATACTCTGATTAGGCATTATTCTTTGTAGAGTAGAATTTAATGCAAGCCACTGTCATAATATCAGTCTGTCTGCTGAGAGTCTCACTGGAGACAGTTGTAATTTGATAAGTATAATTGCATGTGTTTATTAATTGAATGAAACAAATGGAAATCTGCCCCAGCAATTTCTTTGTAATGAATTTTAATATCCTTATCTAGTAATCATGAACCACTGGACAGGTCATGTAAAAGTCATATAAATGCTTTGGTCAAGAAGTGTGGGAACCCGGGTCTTAGTACAAGCATAATTACTAGCCTGACCCACTTGTCTGCTGCATTAAAAACTTTAGATCCAGTCAGTGTTGAAATGTCTGGAATGTAGTTTTTAATGATGTCAATCAATGGATGTTCAGACCAAGCGTATGTTGGTGGAGAAAATGGGCAGAGAGGCTGTTGAACTGGGCCATGGAGAAGCAAACATCACTGGCCTGGAGGAGAACACACTCATAGCCAGTCTGTGTGACCTGCTGGAGAGAATATGGAGCCACGGTCTACAGGTCAAACAGGTGAGACACAAACAAATGGAAATGCATTTCACATTATAACACATACAGCCTAACGCCGGGAATCATTGTGTGCTGTCATCCTGGTTCATAGGGAAAGTCTGCGCTGTGGTCTCATTTATTGCACTACCAGGTGAGAGAAGAGAAAAACGAACAGCTGTCAGAGTCTCCAGGTAAAAAAAAAAAAACCTTCAGTTCATAAGACCCGAAACGACTAATCAAGTCACTGTGCAAATTACAGAATGACTTACAGGGGTGTTAGTTTCTGTAGGTCTGCATTTAGTTTACATAAATTGTCATTTGGCGCCTCTAGCACAGTTAGCTGAACTAAAACACTGAACCTTGTTTGTGATATATTTGTCATATGTAAAGTGATTAAAGTAGGATTTGATAACTTTTTTTTTTGTAGTACTTGTCATGCTTTGAATGCTTGATACTGATTGCAAGTGGTATTGCTAACATGTAGCATTATTGAATCATATTGACGTGTAAATATATTTGTACGCAAAAAACATGCATTTTTTTAGACCAAAATCTTTAGTTTTTCCTTGCTTTGGGGAAGCGTTTAGCTAACTTTAAATTGCTTAGTGATTCTCGTAGAATTAAGCAAATTTTTCCTGTTCACAACTGCTATAGTGATTTCAAAATGCACTTGAGTATTTAGAAGGGATTGTGTTCATGTGTACAGTATGTTTAGACTGTTTCAGGCCTAACACTTCTACATGCTAAGTATGATAACAGGCTAACAGCAAAAAAACTGCTCTGTTTAAGTGCTAAAACTGTTTCTCGCTCTGCAGTGTCTAATGGCCAGGAAAAGCGGAAGCCAGAGTCCAGTGTTGGTCTTCCTGCATTACGTGTATCACTCATACAGGATATGAGGTGTGTTTATTGCCTGAGGACAGTTAAATGTTGTATACAGTAGTGCGTACTTTGTTGGTTGTATAATAATTCAGTTGACGATGATGTTTTTAAAACAGAGATTGATTTACACCCACAAGGTTCTGTTGCTTGCGGCCTCTTCAACCCACATACAGAGAATTACACTATTGTTTTTGATTTTCTGTCTGTCTTCATCATCCTTTCTCTTTCGACTTCTCAGACACATCCAGAACATGAGAGAGATTAAAACAGATGTGGGTCGAGCACGTGCCTGGATCCGTCTGTCCCTGGAGAAAAAACTACTTTCCCAGCATCTCAAACAGCTGCTGTCTAACCAGGCCTTAACCAAGTACGTACAATACATAACACACATCCCTACTCCCATCTACACTCTCTCTCACACACACACACACACACACACACCTGCAGGCATTTCAGACTCCCACATACACACCAAAAGACATGCTCATCACAAGAATTTGACGCAAACAAGCACACGCACGCTGACCCGTTTCAAGTAAGTGCACCTGTTATTAAGTATGCAATGTTCCCACAGGAAGCTGTACAAGCGTTACGCCTTCTTGCGCTGCGAAGAGGAAAAAGAGCAGTTTCTCTTTTATCTCCTGAGCCTGAATGCCGTGGACTACTTCTGCTTTACCAGCGTCTTCACCACCATAAGTACGTCCCAAAGAAAGAGAGACACACACAGATGTACAGATATGTAAATCGGGACTGTATCTACATAGTCAGTTGATGTGGGTTAAAGTTTTACATTTGTTCCCTCAAATCTTAAATATCTGGTTACATATGGGATGCAAACGCTCATACAAAACAGCAGGGAACAGCATCTCATTGCATATCCAGTACTTGATATTGATTTGATGCTGTGGGACAGATTGATTGATTGACCAAGGCATGAAAAATTCAGATTTATGCTGCACAACAAGGATGATGCATAACATAAATTCATTTTTCTGTCTTTTTGTATAATGCTGTTTAGTTACAGCCTAATTTATGTTTTTTCCCCCCTAAGTGATTCCATACAGGGCCGTTATCATTCCCATCAAGAAGCTTAGTAACGCAATGACGACGTCCAACCCTTGGCTGTGTGTGTCCGGCGAGCTGGGCGACTCTGGCATCCTGCAGATCACGAAGAACGTTCTGGAAATGACGTTTGACGTGAGTGCCATGACTTCACGCTCCAGCTGTTCTGCTCTGAAACTGATACAGCAGTTTATTTTGAGTGTGGCACAGTTTGTTTTCCTGTGGGACTGAAAAATCATCCATCCTGCCATCTGCAGAATTGAGTGTGCTTGCAGGTCTTTCGAACATCTGTTAGATCTAAACTATTTATGGAAATGACAGAAATATAGCTGAACGAAATATCTAAGGAAAAAATATATAAATCTCAAGATAACAATGTCACATTTCACATTATATTTTATAGTAATATTTTAAGCATTTTTTCTCATTACCATAATTCATCCAAACATATTGTGCTTAATGGAATAAATACGATGTACTGTAATACTGTGACTTTTATTTCATTTGGCAATGCAAATTTAAAAAGGACAAATTAAAGGCAGTACAACAAATACTACTGTAAAGTATAAATTGTTGACCATTTAAACCATTTTTATTTACATTTTGCTGTAAGATAATAATAATTGAGGAATATAAATATAATCTCTACATATTTTATTACATAATATTATTATTAAAATGGTTAAATTACATATATTTTTACGGAATATCTAAATCGTCATAAAATGCAAATTTTCTTTAAGAAAAATATAAAAAAAAATTTTGGAGTGGGAAAAAATTAGATTCACACAACAACTGTTGTGAAATTTTCTTTGCTGTAGTCTTTCAAAATATTTTGCATTCTCTCACTACTGAAATTATTCTCTTGTTGTCCAGATTATTTCTTCTTTTTTTTTCAAACTGAAATGGTGATTCATGCATTAGTGATCAAAGCCTCTTTATTTATGCACTTCCATGAATCTATAACTTTGAGAAAGGAGATATTATTCTTACATCCCTCCTCATAAAACCAATCACTGCCATTTTTCTTGCTGTCAATCACCCATCATGTTCTAACTCATTCTGTGTCCTCTCGCAGTCTGCCTTTAGGCCTCACACGCACATCTCCATCACTTTCAAGGTTAGGTGCACATTCCTCCATTGTATACCTCTTTCTCTCCCCATTCATCCATCGCTCCATTTTTCTACTTCTGTACTTAGAGAGATCTCCTCTTTTTCTCCTTTGGGTTCCTGGGTTAGCTTTAAATTTTTTTTTTTTTTGCATCCCACATTTTGTACAACACCCATTTACAATTGGACAAACATATATTTGAGGAAAAAAACATCTAGATTAACATGAAAATCTAAAAATAACATAAAAATTAACATATGTAGTAAAAGTAACCGTTATTATTATGTATTGTATATAGGATCCAAAATTATCTAATATTTTTTCCAAGACACAAAACTAAGAAAATAAAATCCATATACAGTGTGCATATATACATACATATATACTGAACAAAATTATATTGCTAAATTAAACGTAACACTTTTTATATATATATATATATATATATATATATATACATACATACATTTTTGGTGGCTCAGGTCATTAGCTAGTATTTGGAGCTTATAGGGTGTTAATTTTGGACCCTATTTGTACACTTAAATTCTGGGATGTTTTTAGAGCCGTGGGTTTACTATGTACACTTTTACTATCTTGTTGTCCTTCCGCTGCTCACACCCTCACACGTGTTGTTCAGTTATTTTCAGACAGCCTCTTAATGCCTCTGACATCGTTGCCTTTATCTGTTCTGTATGTGTGTCTTACAGTGTCAGAACCTCGGGAAGTTGACAACAGTGCAGCTGGGTCATGATAATTCTGGCTTGCTTGCCAAGTGGCTGGTGGATTGTGTCATGGTCCGCAATGAGATCACCGGCCACACATACAAGTACAGCCTACTTTATTCTCTTGCCGTTCATCTGGTTCCTTATATGGTTTTCTTGTTATTTACTCGTTGTCCTTTCCAGGTTCCCGTGTGGCAGGTGGCTGGGTAAGGGTGTGGATGATGGCAGTCTTGAGCGAGTTCTGATAGGTGAGTTTGTAGTTCCGTGCAGTAATGACGACGGAGGCCGAGGTTCTAAGACTCCGCCCCTTCAGCGATCACCTTCCCAGATTCGACGAATCAGCATCACATCACTTACTGGACGTGGAAACAGTAAGTTTAGCTTAAATTTCAAAGGTGCTCAGTAATTTGATTTGTTGTGCTGGCGGTCATCTTGGACTTATAGTGACACCTAGTGGTTAGAATGTGGCATTGCACAAATGTCGTTGTTTTTAGTTATCAGTCACATTGTAGAAATGCTCTATTGGTATTCAGGAGCAGTTAAGTTATTTTTGTTTAACAAATGTGTCTGATAATGTGGGTTATATTAGTAATGTGATCTCAAAATAGTCACCTCCATGAAGGGACCCTCTCCTTTTATTGGGCTGCTGGATATGATCATCTTCATCTAATGTGAATTCTAAGCTATTTTTATAATGATAATTAATTTTAAGTAACATTAATTTGTTTAGGTGTTAAATCTTTTTAATAAATGCAATCCTTCTCTCTTCAGAACCAACAACCGTACAGATACAGGAATCCATCGGTGAAGCAGTTAACAATATTATAAAGCATTTCCACAAACCAGAAAAAGAGGTATGACAATGCCCACTTATGAATATTGTCACTTTTTGTTATCCTTGTAACCTTTTTTTAATCTAAGGGTTTGTCTGTGCTTTCAGAGGGGCAGTCTTACGGTCCTGCTGTGTGGAGAAGGTGGTCTTGTTTGGGCACTGGAGCAGTTCTTCCATCATGGATTCCGCTCAGCTCGAATCTTCCAGAAAAATGTCTTTGTGTGGGATTTGTATGGTAAGCTTAGCTTATTAAATGTTTCCCTGTTAGATTAAAAGAGAAAAACTCATATAGATTTAGTTTATTTATATATATTAATATACGTATAGAGCTTAAATTATATATATTTATATTATATACTGTATATATATATATATATATATATATACACACACACACACACACTGCCATTCGAAACTTTGGGATCAGTAAGATTTATGTCTTTTAAAATCCGTTTCTTGTGCTCATCAAGGTTGCATTTGATCAAAAATACAGAAAAAAACTGCAATATTGTGAAATATTATTGCAATTTAAAATAACAGTTTTCTATTTTAATATACTTTAAATATATAATTTGTTCCTGTGATGCAAAGCAGAATTTTCAGCATCATTACTCCAGTCTTCAGTGTCGCATGATCTTTCAGAAACCATTCTAATATGCTGATTTATCATCAATGTTGGAAACAGTTGTGCTGCTTAATATTTTTTTGGAACCTGTGATATATATTTCTTAGGATTCTTTGATGAGTAAAAAATTTAAAAGAGCAGCATAGAAATCTTTCCTCACAATACAAGTCTTTACTATCACTTTTTATCAGTTTATATTTATATATATTTATATATCGCAGGGGCTTAAATAACTGTTTAATCATGTTTAATGTATAATTTCTCATTTAAAGCCTCATTATATAGGGCTCATTAAAGACTTTTGTGAATAAAATATTTAGAAATTTGAAGTAAACTATTTATAATAATTAATTTACACTTATGTCCTCCAACAGTACTTCAAAATGACAATTAAACATTTAGTATGTGATACAAAACAATTATTGTTATTATCATTGTTATGCTGCTTAAAATATATAAAATATGTTGCTTAAAACTAGGGCTGTGCAAAAAAATCGAATGTGATTTTCATGCGTATCTCGTCAGTAGCGGCATTTACTACACAGGGCCGTAGTTCACTGACAAGCTACACGAAATCGCGTTCAAAATCGCAGGCGATTCATTGCCGATTTTGTGTAGCTTGTGAGTGAACTACGACTCTGTGTAGTAAATGCCGCTCCATCTGAACGCATGTGCTGGAGATTTACTACTAATCACCAGAAGCGCCTTTACTGACGAGATGCGCATGAAAATCGCATTTGATTTTTGTGCACAGCCCTACTTAAAACATAAGTTTATAACATCGGTGTGTTGTACAGAGAAAGCAGTAGCATTTGTGGAGAATGCAGATCAGATTGGAGACCTGCAAGAAACACGAGAGCCTCTAGGCCTGAATTGTGAATCTTTCTGTCGATACGTCAACGCCATTAACAATATGCCACGCAACATTGGCAAGGATGGCAAGTTCCAGCTGCTAGTTTGCCTCGGGGCGAGGTGAGGACACACACACATGCTTCTTAAAAGCAAACTAATTTTGTTTTTTAATAACAAAATGTACTCAAGAGTTGTCTGCACGTGTATCCCACTCTCACAGAGACCGATTATTGCCGCAGTGGCTTCCTCTATTGGTCGAATGCCCCGTCATCACACGCATGTATGAGGAGAATGCGTTACTGCGAGACAATCTCACCGTCAGCTCTCTCATCGCAGTTCTGGAAACGCTGCATGACTTCCCCATCACACTGGAGAGCTCTCTAACGAAAAGCGTTGAGCTGTAACTCCACATGCTGAGGTCAAATTGAGACTGCTCCCCATGCTGCCACCCTCAGGGCCAAAGCGGCTCTACGAGTGACTCTGCCTTGAGTGACACTGTCTTGTGTGTTCGCTGACCAGGGAATGACTGAGGACTTATCAAAGCATCTCTCAACATGACTGACTCCTGCACCTCCTCGCAAATGAACTCAGAAGTGTGTTTTGTAGCAGTATTTGGAGTTGTGGTCTTTCTAACAGAAGGCGTTGACGGCTTTGTTGAGAAGACGTACATTTTTTTGCTTTCAAACCTGTGGTCATTTTCGTACACATCTGTCTGCGAGTCAAATCCGCTAGCATTTCTGCTTCAGATCATGTGTCGTCTTTAGAAAGCACTGTTTTTTGCAAAAGTATGTTAAGATACAGAGGAGCCTTAGTACTGACAAGATTATATGTCCAACACATTCAATAACCATCATTTGACAGGCAAAATGATTATACTTGAGGAATTCAGACATCAAGTGTTTCTAATGACTTGAATTTTATCTGCAAATCAATGTCTGGGTGTTTAAACCAATGCTATCAGTGTTCTGATTGGCTGTCAGTTTGAAAGAAAGATTCTTGATTTTGAATAGTCCTAACTTGAGGGTGTCAATTTGAAACATTCTCCTGATTAAAAGCCTGTCAAATGAATTTTCAGAGAAATAGGACATTCCAACATGTGAATCGTTGTATGTTACAAGATGTGTTTATGTGTGATAGTAATGTGCGTGTGTGTGGCTTGTTTATCAGATTAACATTTGGGAAGATGTGTTTATTTTGCCAATGAGTATTAACTTCATTCTTAGATACTTCAGTATCATGTTTGATTTTTTTTTGTTTTTTTACTTTTAAGAAAGAAACACTGGAAATCAGCGTAAAGCAATAACAAGCTTCTTTCACGTTGTTTTTAGCCATGAAACTTAGTCACAGTTAAAATCTCTCTAATCTTAATTCTTACAGTTACTTGTGGGGGTGCTTTAAATATAAAGTTTAAACCCTAGTATTTACCACTAATTGAAGGTCGAAATGCTGCAATTACTTTGTAAATCCATGTTTGATTACTGCAGTACTTGCACGTTGCTTAGAAATTAAGAATTATTGTCCTTAAATCACCCTTGATGTTTGTTCTTTTATGCATCAGTTTTAATACGGAAACCCTGCTGAGAGAAAAGTAGAATTTACAGATAAACCGTTGTTACAGGATGAATAACAGCTTTGAATCACTTAATGCTACTTAAGTTTTGGTTTTTAAGACTCTCAGCATTTAATCTAAGAGTTGTGTATGGTAGCTCGTCAACCTGTGTATTTTATTTTTCTTTTTTATGACGACTACGATCATTTGTATGTATTTATTTTAGGATGATGCTTTTGTGACTGGTTGATTTTGTATTGATGCTATCTTGGGGGGACTTATGCAGTAAGCTGACACTGGATCATTTATTTATTTTAGTAAATCTGCTTTCAAGCTTTGTATATTGGAATGTCCGTCTTGTGTAAAAGTCGACATTGTTTTAGACCCCAAAAGTTGCTGAAATCCCAGAGAATCCTCTCACTGGAGGGATGAGGAACCCACAGGAACTGTCCCTTTGCTTGCGGTGCTGATGCATGCAACATGTCTTAGATCTGGGAGAAGTACTGTTGCTGTAAATGAATTTGTTCCTCTTCTAGATCTTGCCTCATTCCATCTGTTTTTTTTCCTGTAATGAAAGCTTCCAAACATTGTGTTATAAAAAGCTCCTTGTCTAAAATGAGTTGAATCCTCCATGTTTATATTTGTAAAGCAACATATTAAAATTACTCCCTTCATCCATATTTGTGTCCTCTCTGAATTTTTTGTCATCTTGTGAACGGTGTGCGCAGATGGGACATTATTTTAAGATGCGGTAGGCATGAATTGTATTCCAGGACAGCGCTTAGGTCCTAGAGAACATTCCTCTATGAAGAGTCATTCTTCACGGAACATTATTTTTAGTTTAGGGATGTGCTGATGGCATCTGTGAAACAAATGTTCTGCACTGTCTCATAGGCATCAGCATCAATTATGTGTTTTTATAGTAGAAACCTGAGATTTCTCAGAAATGGGAGTGTTGCAACATGACCGTTTTAACCAGTTACAAATGAGCTTGTTCATTCATAAAAAAAGGTACAAAAGCCACTGGGGCAGTACCTTTTTTTTTTTTAAGTAGCCTACACTTTTGTACCTTATTTACCCATAAAGAGTGCATTTTAGTAGGCCTACCTTAAAATGACATATTACCTACAGTCTACTTATTAGTATGGTATTAGTATCTTTTTAAAAATGTAGGCCTACTACCCCAGTGACCGATTTTGTACCTTTTTTTCCCCTGAGAAAGTATAAGCACCAAACTCCTGAAAGAAGCTTCAGGTAGAAGCTGTAAATAATATAAAGCATTTACAGGGCAAAAAATTAAGAAAGTAAAAGTACATGTCTGTATTCTAATTTGATTTGAAGTAGCCTACACTTTTGTACCTTATTTACCCATAAAGAGTGCATTTTAGTAGGCCTACCTTAAAATGACATATTACCTACAGTCTACTTATTAGTATGGTATTAGTATCTTTTTAAAAATGTACTACCCCAGTGACCGATTTTGTACCTTTTTTTCCCCTGAGAAAGTATAAGCACCAAACTCCTGAAAGAAGCTCCAGGTAGAAGCTGTAAATAATATAAAGCATTTACAGGGCAAACAATTAAGAAAGTAAAAGTACATGTCTGTATTCTAATTTGATTTGTGATTCTAAATGAATGTTAAGTTACAGTTACTGTATGGCTTCCCATTTAATTAGCCGGTTTTGAATTAAAGTGTTACCTATACCTTGACCCTTTTTTAAAATACATAACTATAACAAATAGTAGGCAAGCTAAAAAGGAAATTAGGGTTAGTGATCGTGATGGCATAACAGTTATTTCAGACAAAACGTAAAGTTGATTAGGCTACCACAATAAATGAATGCACAAAATGTAAAATGTTTTCTATTAGTATTATAACCCATCCAGTTTAGTGGTGAAACAAAAGCACTAATAGCCTACTTATTTGACACTAATTTACAGTTTAACATGTAATTTTCTAATTTGTAACAAACAAATATAGGAATATTACATCAAAGTTTGAGGGGGGAAAAACAGGGAGCTACAAACTAACAGAAATGACATTTCCCAGTTTCCCCTATAAATATGATTGAGGGAATTAAACGATTTTGTCCCGAAACCGATCTAAATTTTGGTTAATAATGTTACATTTATAAGGTCTAATGTCGTTTAGCTCTTTCAACCTATTTAATTGATTCTACAGAGAGCCCCAAAAACAGCTCTCTCGAACTATCTCCATGATGAAGTATACCGAAGCCGGAGTAACCGACATGTGCTCATGGCTGACGGACACGGAGCGAGGAAGATGTGCTGCGTTTGTTCCGACATCTGCTGTCCTCGTAGTAGTAGAGCGTAACTCCGCCCACCGGGATAGCAGCGCACTGCCTGCTGCCCTAGCAACCGGACCCGCCCACGTTTCCCGCGTAATTTTCTCTTCCTTATATGGGCACTAGAATGCAGACGCAGTCAAACGTCAGCCGCGTATGCAAATGAGGTTGATTGAAGAAATTCAGAAAATGGTGGATGGAGCTCGGCGCATGCGCAAACATTTTACTATACTCAGACAGAAAGTGAGACAGTAACGAGTGGCGCATTGTTAAATGAGTAACGCCTGTAACTCTTGGATTTCGCTGTGTGGTTTGACTTTAACTGCTCCAAGTCGAGGTAAGAAAAAAGGGCTTTTTCTTAAAAAGTAACTTAACAGTTTTTGTGTGCGCCTTTCGAAAGGCCCCCTTAAGAAGTTGCGTGACAGTGCGATGCCCGGGTGAAAGCTGTCGCATTCATTAGAAATGTAGCAGTAAGATCACTTTTAAGCCCTGTTGAAATGTTTAGATTTTTGCTTCAGTATAAAAGCGTGTGCTAAGTTTAGAGTTTACACTTGAGGAGGCTGCTGCCCACACAGCGCATCACATTTTAGGGCGCTCGCATCCTTTGCCGATGATCGCTTATAAAGTGTTTGATAACAGAATTGATTCATCTGAAGCCGAAATAGATTTCTATTACACTTATCCGAACAGACGCACACAAAAATGCGTTTCAGACGAGTGTTTTGACAGAAATGGTCAAGGTTGCATTTTAAATTAAACAATTTGCATTCGTGGACTGGTTGAACTAGCCTAGGTGATAGCTAGAATAGTGAAAGCTATGATGGCGAACATGCATGCTCATTTATATGTATACTTGGTGTTATATGCATGCATTGAAACCCAGTTTTGCCGTTTCTTCTCGTGTTGAACTTGTTAACGTTACTACTGAACTGTCCGTCTTGACTGTGTGTGGTCTCTTAACTCGGCTGTTGGTGGGTGTGCTTCAAAACAAACCCGCATTTTCACACGCTCGTCAACGTTTTTAAACTTCTGCTTCACTAACTCAAGCAGTTCAACGTTTATATAACGAGCAGAGCTGTGTTACTGTTAAAAGAGTCATTGCATGTGCGATGGAGGCGGTGTCACTGACGCATTTAAACGCGGAGCTTAAAAAAAATCGACATTTTATTTTAGTATTCCGGTGGACTGTTTAAAAGTGTCTTCTATTGCCCCGTGATGAAAATAAACACGCAAATGCGTGTTTTGTTAGGCTCTTGAGCGAAGTTGTTGCGCGGACAGCAAGTGTTTACAGTCTCGAGCGCAAAGCATGGAGTCGCACGAGCCACTGAGTCGCGCTGAAAACAAAGAGCAGCGCACGAGCAGTTCGATTAAATTCAACCGTCTTTCTTCGATGAGCACCGCTGGCATCAGAGAAAGCGCGTCAATTAGTTGCTCGCACCAAGCGGAAGTCGTTTTCGGTGAAATTGCGGGGAAAACATGCTGAATGTGTCTGTTTAAAGATGCCGTGTGGCGTGCCATGCTTCCGTGGGAGCTGGTGGGCGGTGAATACGGCGGGACACAAGCACCATTTCACCGCAGTGTGCGAACGGCTGAACATTTAAACACCGCGAAACGCTGATAACGTCCATGTTATGTTATCTGATAACTTTAGACGACACATTTAGACGTGTTAATGACACTTTTGGTCGCGTTTCCCGTAACAGCATTACATTACTTTCATGCCCCCATTTTCTGCCCCTCCCCTCCCCTCCCCTCAAACGCGTTGCCATGTTTGAATTGCGTCAGAGGCTAAATATACAAACGCCAGTTGAACCCTCGCACTATGTACAGTGCATCATTTTAGAAATATTATTAAATATGAATATACATATGGGCTGTAATAAAAAATGAAACTGCAGAGGCTTCAGATAGACATCGGACAGATGCGTTTTCTGTAATGACTCAGTTATAATGTATGAATTTGATGCCTTGCGAGGGCACCGCTGCTGTCACCGGTGTCCGGCTCTATCAGCACCGAGGTTATATAAGACCGAGCACTGTGTCCATTATGCTCTTATCCCACTGACGCGATGATGACTGATAACAATTGATCTATAATAGAGAACATTATATATATAGATCAGTGCTGATAACCCATATTTCATCTCTCTCTCTCTCTCTCTCTCTCTCTCTCTCCTATATAAACTATTAATAGTTATGTATGTGATATTTATTAAAGGGGCCATAAATATTTGGGTTGAACTGTTCTGGAACAGTGTTGTAAATACAACTTAACCACTGATTTCTAGTCGTGTCCTCTTTTGGAAGGCCAAACAAAGTAGTTTCGCTTTCACAACGAAACACAGCGTCACACACGGTGGGCTTGAGTGAGTGGAGGCGGGCGCGCTTGTGGCAACCACATGTGACGACCCCGGGCTGGACTCCGCTTCATCCACGGTGAAAGCCGATCCGGCGATCCACAGTGCAAAGTTGATGTATTTCCTCAGCAACCAGCACATGACGAAGCAGATATCGTCCTCTTTTGGAAGACCAAACAAAGTAGTTTCACTTTCACAACTAAACACACAGTGTCTTCACGACATAGCGGCAGTGGCAACAATACTACAGCGAGAATAAAAGTTACGCCTTCTTTCTTTGCGTGAACATTTGGGCGGCGTTATGCAAATCTTCCCACATCGTGACGTAGACATGTGGAGGGTGTGTTAGAACGAGCCGTTTTAGGTAGGTGTGGTTGACTCTTAACTTTTATCAAGAATATCTCTTTGGATTTGAGACTTTAGTCTTTGCAACTTTTAATTATTAACATTTAATTATTCAAGCTGCTGCGAGAAAAGGCTATAAACGATCGGCCACCTGCAGGATCCTCACATGCGGTAGCCTACTAGCCGGGACAAATTCTTTGTTTACAGAAGTGACGTAATGACGCAGTACCATGCTTAAATTTCCCGCGAAAACATACCCGTAATTAATTAGAAAACCTTACAATAAGCTAACCGTTGTGAAACAAGCTAAAGTAAGGTGATAGTTTTGAACACTGGCTAGTTATGCACTTTCTCAAGTTTTGATTTCGGATAATTTTTAACCAAAAAAAGTTACGGACTGCAGCTTTAAGTAATACATTTAACACTACATTTACTGTAGGCCTGTGTGTGTTTACACAAATACATAAATGTAGAGCAATTATCAAAATACTGATGAAAATGACACCACATTAAAAAGTCAATAAATATTTTCATATTCATTTTGTGTAATTTTAACCATTATTTCCATGACTTGACCAATTATTAAAACATGTTTTATTAACACAGTATACATGCATGCACTATACTGGTAAAAAGTTTGGAATAATTGAGATTTTTAAAAAATGATTTTGAAAGCAGTCTCTTATGCTTACAAAGGCTGCGTTTATTTTATACAAAACAAAACAAAAAAATAGTAATATTCTGAAATATTATTACAATTTAAAATAACTGAATAATTTTATAAAAATTGTTTTAAAAAATAATAATTTTAAAGTGTAATTTATTCCTGTGATGGCAAAGCCGAATTTTCAGTAGCCATTACTTCAGTGTCACCCTTCAGAAATCATTCTAATATGCTGATTTGCTGCTCAAAAAAACTTTTTTCTTAGTATTATTTACTTATTTATTATTATTATCATTGAAAACGGCTTAATTTTTGCTGCTTAAAATTTAGGTGGAAACTGTGATACATCACCATTCAAAAAGTCTGGGGGAAGATTATATATATATATATATATAAAACAAAAACATTTATTCAGCAAGGACACATTAAATTGATCAAAAGTAACATTTATAATTTTACAAAAAATTTATATTTCAAATAAGTGCTGTTCTTTTTTTTAACGTCAATTTTGAAACTTAAACTTCTATTAATCAAAGAATCCTAAAAAAAAGATTCACAGTTTCCACAAAAATATTGAGCAGTAAAAACTGTTTTCAACATTGATGATAAAAAGAATTGTGAATGTATAACAGTAACCTTAGTTGTTTGTAACTATGGTACTGTGCTTACCATGGTACTTTTGGCAGCAAATTAAATTCCAGCTGTGTTTAAAATCTTGTGTAAAACCATTGAATCAGCAGAAGTACCAAATATAAAGTTGTTTTACTTCTGTCTTATTCATGTGTTACAGATGTTTGGCTTTCATAAGCCAAAGATGTACCGCAGCCTTGATGGATGTTGCATCTGCAGGGCAAAATCCTCCAGCTCTCGTTTCACTGACAGCAAACGCTATGAGAGAGACTTTCAGAGCTGCTTTGGGTGAGTTTGGAATCTATTGTTTGCTTGTGGTTCCTCTGTAATAACATGATATTTAACATCTGCCTGGTTTAAGTACAGTGAGGATTGGTATAATGTATCTCTAGTCAAGCGTTCAGACCTTTTCTTTTATAATAATGTGGAATAAATAATGTTGTTTGTTTGTAATGTGAGAACTTCAGTGATTTCATATGCATTCTCCTATTACAATGATATACAATGGGATACTTCTACAGTTTAGGGGAGACTCGTTCTGGTGAAATCTGCAATGCTTGTGTTCTGCTGGTGAAACGCTGGAAGAAGCTTCCCGTCGGTTCCAAGAAGAACTGGAATCATGTAAGCTCCGTCAAATTCACCAGTCTCGCAGCTCCAACCGGGGTGTGCATATGCACACTCACACAGCCTCTCATTTATCACAATGAAGTCTTTTCAGTTCAATTTTCAATACACATTGTTCCAAAGCAGCCTTACAGAAACACCTTTAGTGAACAAGTGAACTGTAGCTGAGGTGGCAACTCCCTAAGATGTTAAAGTAGATGAGGAGGAAACCTTTGGAGGAACTGAGAATCAGCTGGGGAAGCCCACATCCTCAGAATAACATATATTTAAACCATTTCATACACGCACAAATTATTTGAACAGATGCAAAAGTATTAATAATAATAGTATTACTACATAGTATTACAAGGTAGTAGTCACTACTTTGCTAATGCAGATCATATGATATGAACAATAATTTAATCATGTTTGGGCCCACTGATTACAGATAACCTGTTGTAGTTGATCTAAATAATTAATAATAATAATAATTATTATTATTTTAATTATTATTATTTATTTTCTTGTTTATAAATAATATAATTTTAATTATATGACAATAAATACATAAGTAACAAATTATAAACCTGACCTATAATATATATAAGTAAATGACTAAAGTCTTGCTTGATATAAAACATAGTTTCAAAGCAGCTTCATAGTAATAAAGGAAAATAACAGAATCAATAATGCAAACTTCATCAAATATGATAAAAATATTATAATTCTGACCAAAAAAATAAAATGGTATTAGTTCTAAACAAAACCATTTATATTAGTTTGTTTTAGGCGTTATATTATATGTCAATAAATAAATACAAATAATTATAAACCTGACCTGTGATCTAATATAATATAATGCCTAAAAATGCAAATTAATATACAGTAAATGTATTTATTGTTTTGTTTAGAACTAATATAAAATCAATTATATAATAAATCAATAAATAGACAATGAACCTGACCTATAATATCTATAGAGAAATGAATATATATTTGCTGCTTTGTTCATAACTAATATAATATCAATTATATGGAAATAAATTAATAAACAAATACATTTCCATCACAGTCTGAGGATTGTTATTGTGATCAATTGTTATCAGGTGGTTGATGCGCGAGGGGGACCCAGTCTGAAAACTACAGTGAAGTCAAAGAAAGTCCAATCCCTGTCCAGTCGGATCAGACCGAACCAGCTCAGCAGAGTTCAGAAGGAACTGAAGAGACACAGTGAGTACACGATCACATATTTCAATTACAAAAAGAACATGAAATGCATCTTAACATGTTCCTTATTAAATCATTTTTCACGTGATCATTTTGGCAAAATGTCTTCGTTAACAGATTCAGATGCTCACAGCACCACCTCCAGCGCCAGCCCCGCCCAGTCGCCCAGCTACAGTAACCAATCAGATGAAGGCTCTGACTCGGAGTTGACTCCTGGCTCCGCCCGCTCTCCAGTCTTTTCCTTCTTGGACCTGACGTACTGGAAAAGGTCTTTACTTTACTTTAGAGTTTGACCTTTTGTTTTTCATCATAATTAATACTTTTTAAATTAAATTAGTTCATTTATAATTCTCTCTAGGCAGCGGGTATGTTGTGGCATCATCTATAAAGGTCGCTTTGGGGAGGTTCTGATTGACCCTCATCTCTACAAGCCCTGCTGTCAGAAAAAACAGGTGCAAGAGGAGGAAGAAGAAGAAGAAGACGAAGAGGAGGAAGAGGAGGAGGAAGACTGTGACCTTGAGAAAGAGGAGGTGCAGAGCAGTCAAGAAATTCTCTCGTCCATTCAACCGCACTCCTCTCCTCAAATAAAAATGGAGCAGGAAGTGGATGAGGAGTGGTGATGCCACATTCCCACAGTACTGATTTGGCATTCCTAGGAAGCCTTCGAGAGTCAAAACCCACTCTCAAAGACGTTCTCTCGGATAGCCTTCGATTCAAGAGCAGCTGGATCCTTGCTCGTCTTTTCCTGTTTCTTTCTTCCTTGTTGAGAATGTGTCTCTTTCATTTCCTTCGCAGTCAAATCAACTTTTATTTATCAAACTGAACTGTCGTCCTTGTTTTCCAGAGCCTGGTACCACGCTATTCCATTTCCTATGAGGATTTTTATTTTTTTTGTAGACCAGAGAAAATGAGTTTCCTTTCTTGCTATCCCGCTCAAACACAGAATGCTGGATCTACATACATCATGCATAGAAATCTAGACAGTGACCACAATCCCACGCTGTCACTTTTGTACTCTTGAGCACCATTCTGCCCTTCCTCTGGGGAGACTGTCTCTCTGCACTTAGTGTACAGTATTTAGTATACAGCAAGCAGCATCTGCTAAATTCTAGCTCAGTGAAGAGGATGTTCCACCATTTTGCTGGGATATAGCGATTATTTAGGGAAGATCTATGCCTTTTATATATAAATTTTTTTCTATCTTTGTCTTTATTGTTAAGGTGTACTCTGATTTTTCCTCTCAGTTTTATTTAAAGGTACAGGTCACCTAAGTGTTTTTATTTTTATTTTTTTATGTCTCGGTATTCTGTCATTCACCCTCATGCTGTTCCAAACCTCTTTCAAATTTTTTTTTTTCGTGGAACACAAAAAGTTAGTTTTTGAAGAACATCTAGCTGCTTTATTCAAAATAATGGAAGTGAATGGGGACTGGGGCTGTCAAGCTCCAAAATGACTAAAGCACCCCAAAAGTATCTTAAAAATTGAGCTGTGCTCTATGCTCCAAGTCTTTTATAGCCATATGATAGCGATAAATGCGTTTGTCAAATGGACTTCTTTTAACAAATATTTACTGTGCTTTTTGTCTTGATTGCTTCAGTTCACCTTCACTTTTATTATACAGAAAATATACTGCATGATATTCTTGAAAAACTCACTTTTTGAGTTTAATGTAAGGAAAGTGAAGTGTGATGATGTGAAGGTGAGTAAATGATGACAGATATTTAGTTTTAGGGTGAACTGATTTTAAACCCTGATTTCAGTGCGGGTTGTCTGTATTCAGCCTCTAATAGGCAACTCAACTCAACTCATAGTGTTTTACTGCAAACGTTTCCCCAGACAGCTTTTCTGTGGTGCTGAGGCAGACTGGGCATGGCCAACCAAAAATAATGCCTGGCTATCAACACTCTTGTATTCAGTGTACTAGTGTAAATATGAACCCTAAGGAAACTATTGTCTTGATGAAAATTTGCATGAATTTTGCATGGCATTTTAAGATTTTTTATTTGTTTTGCAACCATGTTGCAACATAATTTAATAATAATTTGGGCACATTTTGAGACAGTCCCAATATATTTTTGTAGATAAATACAAGAAAAGAACAAAAATGAAATCAGAATTTCATTATCATTTCAAAATTTTAGAATTGGATATTTTCAATATTGTCTCATTCAAAGCCAAAAAGCCCAAAATTTTTGCTATTCATTCAGTCATCTTATATACATGTGTAAATACTGTGTTTTCACAATGACAGATACTACTTTTTTTTTTACTGTCATGAAAGAATTGAGCACATGGTCTGAACGTTTTGGTCATTTTTTTTGTCTTTTGCCTTTTTATGCCGGGGAAAACTTTTTAAAAAAACTGAAAGGCTAAACCAATGTCAGCTTGTACATTTTCATTATAAATGACTTGTCTGTAATAAGCTTTCATATAATGAGTATTCATACTAAATATCCCAAGGTTTCCCCTTTGTTTCAATAGGTCTGTCCTTCCTGTTCTTTATAATTTTATTGTTTATGATAGCCTTGGTTGTCTTGGATTGTACAAATTACATTGACGCACACATACTTCTGTTTAATTCCAAGGGGTGGCGATAGAGAGCTCATTTGTTTCACATAAAACACTCCATTGCACATGAATTTGAATTCTTCTCTCTAATATATGCTCTGTTTTGAAATGGGTATTTTGATGGTGGCAGCTTGTGGCTTTAGTGTGAATATGCCACATCACAGAATGACATGAACAATGACTGTATTTGTGATAACATCCGTTCAGGTGAAGCACCTACATGGGGATTCCTATCGTGTCATGTCTATGATGGCGGTTTTTGTAAATATAAGATGTGTAAGACTGAAAAACAGTTATGAATATGAATACTCTTTTGTCTTATTTATTTTATATTTATTTTTCTTGTGGTCTTTTCTTTTTAAGTCTCATCTGATTTTGTCATAGGACTGACCTGTCCTAACAACACTGCAATATGGACTGAAAACGCTTTTACACATCACAGATTGTCAGCCGAGTCTCTCTAAATGTTATGGAGAACTTCAGGACCGGACAGCTGTAAAAACAGACTTTTTTTTGGTTTATGCTAAGTACAACTATGATTATTTTTATACTTTTGTTTGAGGGTTTCTAATGCCTGCATACCTTACCTTAGACTAGTCCTTTAGTTGTAGTGCTACAGGCATGCATGGTAGCTATGCACTTTGTATTCACATTACTAGAGATATATGAAGCAGGTTTTGTATTTTTTTACATATTGTACTTTTTACTTGTTCCTCAATAAATGTAACTTGTGATGGTTACACTTGTTATGTGCATTGGTGTAAACATGTATGCATTTGACAGCCACTTGCATTAATATTTTACTAATACATGCATTCCCTGGTAATTGAACTTATGACCTTGGCATTGCTAGTGCCATGATACTGTTTGAGCTACAGGAACATGTACATAGATAGGTCATGCCAGCACATTAAATGAGCTATATAGAGTAATAGATAGAGAGTGGCTGGTGTTCTTGGTGCTTGCGACTCCAATGTTGTGGGTTCAATTCTCAGGGGAAAAAATAGGCTACCATTTTTTTGGTCAGTAAAAAGAAATTAATACTTTCATTCAGCAAGGACACATTGAATTGAACAGTAAATACTTTTATAACGTTACAAAACATTTCTGTTTCAAGTAAATGCTGTTCTTTTGAACTTTTCAATTCTGACAAAAGTATCAGTTTTCACAAAACAAATATTAAGCGTCTTTTTTCAACATATACTAATAAGAGTTTCTGCAGGCTTTATGAAGGTGAATTCAAGACTTTTAAGGGGACACAAAGAAATTCCTTAAAATGAAGTGAACAAGAACAAATATCTGCCAGTGAGCTCAGAGAAAAACATTTCATTCAAAGGAAAAACAAGTTGTTTTTCTGACCCCCATTGGCAGATATTTGTTCTTGTTTTATGCATAACTACACTTAATTTCTCAAAATAGCAAGACAAATACTGAGGAACAGGCTATATTCATTTTTTGCAGTGCATGCAACATATAAAGCCACGACTTCAAAGATAAATGTAAAACTTTCTGCTCTGATTTAAGATCTTTTTAACAGAGAATACTAAATGTTTGTTGAGCCCCAAATGAGCATTTGTTTATTTTTTGCCATGAGGCCTATTAGACATGTTTGAACTATTATAACGAACTATTTACCATAAAATTACAAATGACAGTGACAAATGTATCAATTTTCTCCGTTTTTACACAAAATTGTTGTGTAAACGTCAAGCTGAATCATTCAATCATTTACATATTCTCAATAACTACAAACAAACTATTATTTAGGACCACATTTGTTAGCCCCTTGAATGGCAGACTAAATTTGCAACCCTGTTACTTATTCAACCCTGTTACCCATTCTGGAAAAGTTATTTGTATATATTATTTAATGTAAATGATAGCTGGATGGATGGACGGATGAGAGCGTGAGAGAGACACTGTCCTGTGTTTGGCTGTGACGTCATGATTGCTCCGCCAGCTGATGGGGGTCCTCTGCTCTGAGGGCATAAAAAGGTGAGAGGCGGCTGCGGTCTGTCCTCTCTGTTTCCTCACCGCTTTATATCGTCTTTCCACCAGCTCACCGAAAGGCTACCTCGTTTGCGTTGACTCTAAATGAGCAGCCTTCCCACCCAAGTCATCTTAACGATCTGAAACGCAGCAAACTAACACACACACCGGCTGTGGCAGAGACGCACGAGGTCGGTGAGATTTCTGCAAATGCTTTGCTCATTGCACCTGTGTGTTATGTTGTCACGTGCATCTGTGGCTTTATTCGTCCTCTAGCAACTTATTTGCGTTCTCTGCTCGTGGTTTTGGGTGGTGGCACCACGTCGATGCTGTTTGGGCAGGATTATTCTGGAAAGCATCAAACTCGTGTCGGATAAAGTCTTTAAAAGTTGCATTTTGCAGTGTTGTAACTGCTCTTTTTCAAATGCAAGTTATTATAGCTTCATTTGGTGTTCTACTGGATGCATAATCAATGTTTACGAACGCCAGAATTGTATTAGACGATATTTGTAAATGGCTGACAGTAAACGACTACGGTTTTAATGCTACATCGTGATTCCCGGGATTAATTCGCTTTTGAGTGTTGCATTTGTATTCCAGCATGTAAATGCCGTGTCATGGTGAGCACTGGCGAATGGCCAGACACAAGGGAAGATTTGAGCTCACATAATTGAGTTCTACACTCACTGCTCAGGCTGTGCCTTTTGGGTTTATCTTTACAGCATGTGTGCTGAGATTTTCTTTTCATCCCTTTTGTGCCGAGGTTCTTTTATTGTCATTGAATGACTGAACTCCTTGCATGAAGAACCAGGATACAGCCTATTGCCTTATGCATGCTTTTAACTTAAAGGCAAAGGTAGTATTTATATAGCACAGCACAGGCATAAAAAAACTGACATTTAAAGGTTCATTTTAAATAATCATTTAAGAACATAAATGTGAATGGGGAAATAAATATAGAAAAATACAAGTATAATATAAAAATGTATTAAGAGTTCACAATTTTTCTCATTTACTCACCCACGTGTCAGACCTGTACGAATACAAACGTTTTTGAAGAATCAGGGTTATTATAGTCAAGTAAGACTAAAACCATAAAAACGATAATTGGAGATTATTGGTGATCTTAAATTTTAGCGTTGGCTAGTTTTATTCTACATTGCACAGTGAGGGTCGCTTCAATCACATGACCCTGTATTATTAGACTCTTGTGGTTGCAGAATAACTTAAAAATACCTGCACATGTATTTGAGTTTGTGTGATGCTGTATGACTACCGTGGTATGGAAATGTTTTTATTTATTTTGTTTATAAATTAGGCAATGCGAATTCTTACTCCATAAGACATTACCTAATATTCCATTCTGAGCATGGCTATAAACGTCGTCTTTTAGTTCCATAATAAATAGTGACCTTTCTGCTCATTGTCCCCTCTGCTTCAGAGAGACCAAGATCATGGTTCAGCTGTCACCATCTCGGACTATAGAGACATTAACTCCATCAGAGTTGACCATGGAGAAGGAAGATGACCAGGGCAGCCTTAAATCAGAGTCCCCTCGAGTGCTTACCGCCCTCCAGCTCGCCTTTAACCCCACCACCGCGACCACCTATTACGGCTACGAGAAATACATTGAGGACGGCCTCATCTGCCTCAAGCACAAGATCCGCAACATTGAGAAAAAGAAGGTGCCTTTATTATGTTTAGGTGGAAACCGCATGAAGGAACCCCAATGTGCTTCACTCCTGTCTGTGCGTAAAACAAAGCTACTTTTTATTCTTACAGCTGAAACTGGAAAGCTACAGTGAGAGGCTGAAGAAGGGGGACAAACTAAATCCAGACCAACAGGTATTCATTCATTTTATTTGTAGCATCTTGGGAAATGGGGCTTGTTTCAGCATGACAGATGTGTGGTAATGTTGTAGGAAGCTGTGGGGAAGTA